AAACATCAAAATTAGCACAGAAACAGTACTATATAACATTTTAGACACATTCTAGACAGTTTATCAGCTAAAAAAAGTTAATTTGGGGGTAAGTTCCTCTTTAAAACAAGCTGTGTAATGCTGGGCTTAATTTAAAGTTAAAATAAATTTAAAAAAGTGCAAGCATCAAAATAATCACTTTGAGGCCAAGAGGTTAGCAGATGTTTGTCCTGTCCTSTCAATCTTCTCTAGGTGTTAGGATGCCATTTACATCCTATTCTGGAGCTGGGAAGAGGTAGTGAGGTAATTTCCCAACAAGCCAAATGAAACTGCATTCCACAGTTAGCCCACTGGTTGCCGCTAAATTAACTACAAAACTGCTACAATGTAAACAATGACAAAAAGAGAGCTCTACTACGTACGTCATGCAAATAAACATTGATTTTAATAATGGAGCGTACCGTTAGCTCCAAGTAAACAAACAACACTAAGCCTGGCAGGTGGGTCGTCCTGGTCTCTAATATTGTCAGGCAAACTTCCAACAGAGTAGGGACATGTTCACGTGTTAACTCGGTATTGTTCAGTTGCTCTGAGGGCAAAAGACACTTTTGTCTCACAGCTACGTCACTGCTTCAATAAACAATCACAGGTGGTCTTTACCTGCAGGTGTTCATCAGGCCAGCTGTTTCAGGCCTGTTTGAACAGACTGTTGTCAGTTTAATGATTAGTTTGATGTCTGGTTACTGAGGTTTGGATGTGTTTCAGGTCCTCGATGAATCAAAGCTGCAGCAGGTCGACAGCCTGTATAAGGAGTTTGAAACTCCTGAAAAAGCCAACAGAATGTAAGTTAAATTAAATAAAAACACCATGAAGACTGCACTGAGTGGTTTCATGTCACTGTGTGTGTTCTGCTCCACCAGAGTGAAGCTGAAGCACTTTGAGAAGTTCCAGGACACGACGGAGGCCTTGGCAGGTCAGTGTGAGCTCTCTGTGTTCTCCCACAGTGTGGTCTGTGATGCATTCTAGTGTCTGATGACTACATGAGGCATTCCTTATCCAACGTCACTACCACTGAGACCACACTGATCCTGAGCAGCAGCGTGTGTGTTGGACCTGTTGTTTCTTTGCTGGAACAATTCTTCATAGCTTTTAGTGGCACGARACAGAAACAGGAGGTTTAAGAAGTGTTGCTCATGGTTCAGACAGGTTAACCTCCTGAGCCAAACATGAAAAACAGCAGTTCTCCTTTTCTATTTCTTTTAACTTATGTTAACTTCAGATCTGTCAATTGAACCTGGACATGTTGGTATCAAAAGAAACCTAAGAATCTTTACTAAAAGCGCATGGTAACCATTTTACATTCAACAAACACGGTTCAAACGTCAAGCAGTTGAATCAGAAATTAAACTGTTCAAAATGGGTTTGTTGCAAATCTTTAAAGGAAAGAGTTTTGATATTTTGTTTTTAAAGCAAGTCAAAATAGATACCTAAATATGTTGAAAAGTGTGTTGAAAGTAGGCCTGTCGCGATAGTCAATAAATCAATTTATTGCACAATGAAAATTTTTTTTGAAGTCGGTAAAAAAAATGAGGACGATAAGTTTCATTTTCCTGCTTGTTTATTTACTTTGTCTCTCTCCCTCTCTCTGCTCCACTGCACAGGAGCTCAGCTGACTCCTCCCCTCCTGTTTTCTTAGTGTCGGGAGGAGTGAACTCTCGTGTTAGCGTGAGAGCTCGTAGCAATAACAAACTAAAGAAATGTTTCAAAGCAGAACGCGGCTGCTGCAGTGTCGGAGCACTAGAGCCTGAATTTCGCAGCGGGGAGGGAGGGAGAGAGGGAGAGAGAGAGAGAGAGAGAGA